TGAACCAGTGTGGGGATTGAACTGCTGCTTCTCGCCCGTGGACACTCGACACGTTTCCTTCTGTTTCAGTCCAAAGAGCTGCAGGTCAAGCGTCAGTTCCAGGAGACCTGCAAGATCCAGACCCGTCAGTACAAAGCTCTGAGGAACCACCTGCTGGAGAGCACTCCAAAGTCCGACCACAAGGCCGTCCTCAAACGCCTCAAAGAGGAGCAAACACGTAAGCTGGCCATCCTGGCCGAGCAGTACGACCACTCCATCAACGAAATGCTGTCCTCTCAGGCTGTGAGTAAGGCAAGGAAACCTCCGTGCACCTGCACACCTGACAACCTCCCACACTTCAGCACCTGCACACCTGACAACCTGCACCTTAGAACCAGAGGCCTGTACTACAAGGCAGGATTCGGGCTTATCCAGGTAACTTCAGGATGAACCCTGGCTTATCAGCCTGGGTACAAGCTTCTTACATCGCCATGGCAACTTGAGCTGCAGCTCTAACCTGCTTTAGGGAGGCTATCACACAGTGACAGCTGTCATCGCCATGCTTCAGAGGAGCTTTACTAATACAGCGGCTCTTCCACCTTCCTGCAGAGCCCCCCTCTGCTCCCTCTGCAGCAGTTCTTACCTTCACTCTGTTTAACCACCTGATTTTTCCCCTTTTTATCTTCCTTTGAGCGATCAGCTTTCCATGTTTCTGATTGGTCACGTGCTGCAAACCCCGCCTCTCCCATGTGAACGTGTTAAAGCTTGATTGCCAGATTGGAGTAAAATATCCTGGATATGTTGAACTTGCTTCGTAGTACAGAGCCCAGCTCAGCTCGGTTTACAGGAAATAAACCAGCTGAGGAGAAATGACCATGTTTATGAAATCCTGAACATTTTCACATTTTCCTAAATTATCCAAACGACTGATTAAAAACTGCTGATTTTAAATTTAATCTCTAAAGTCAGAGCAGCTTTAGATTAAAGTTCAAATATGGCGTGTTTATTAAATAAATGTAAACATGGAGGCATTAAGTAATGTTTCAGGGCTGAACTTGATTTAATATGTTTGATTTTATTAACGAGCTCATTATCTCATCATAATCTTCACCTTTGAGCAGAGGCGACTAAAGTTTGTTGGTCTGTGCACCGACACATGTGACTCACATGTGGACGTCAGCTGATACTGACAGTTGAAAGCGGCTGATCAACTGAAACCTTCGTCTTCAGGATGAAGAGTCATTTCCTGTCTGTAGTTTTCAGCTGAATGATTTTATTTTCTAAAAGTAAAAACCATAAAAGACATTAGAGAAACGCGCACATGCAGCACAAACAGCTGGTTGACTTGCTGATAACGAGGCTCTGCTTTGGTCCCACAGCTGCGGCTGGATGAGACGCAGGAGGCGGAGTATCAGGTCCTGCGCATGCAGCTGCAGCAGGAGCTCGAGCTGCTGAACGCCTACCAGAGCAAGATCAAGATCCACACGGACACGCAGCACGAGCGCGAGGTCAAGGACCTGGAGCAGAGGGTGTCGATCCGCCGGGCGCTGCTGGAGCAGAGGGTGAGGCCGACTTCGCTCTGACGGTCGACGCTTGTGAAAGCGCGTGAGCCGCGTCCCGGTCGAGCTAACCGCCGCTTTTTTGTCCAACAGATCGAGGAGGAGATGCTGACTCTGCAGAACGAGCGCTCCGAGCGAATCCGAACGCTGCTCGAGCGCCAGGCTCACGAGATCGAGGCCTTCGACTCGGAGAGCATGCGTCTGGGATTCAGCAACATGGCGCTGACCGGCATCCCGGCAGAGGCCTTCAACCAGGGCTACCCGACCCCCAGCCCGTCCTCGGGCTCCGGCGGCTGGCCGTCGCGGCCCGTACCGCGCTCCGGCAGCCATTGGAGCCACAGCGTGCAGAACTCTGTGACGACTCCATCCTGGCGCAGCCAGAATCACGGCGGCGGAGGCTTCAGCCGCGCCGAGTCCATCGCCTCGTCTCACGTCCTCGGCAGGGATGGCGAGATGAGCAAGAGCCGGGTCCACTCCTCCTCCCATCACCAGCAGCACTACCTCCCCCAGCACTACCAACACCACCAGAGCACGCCGCAGCTCTACCGCGATGCCCACGAGCGCGACTCCAGGGAGCGGGACCGCTCCAGGGAGTGGGTGGGAGGAGGTGGCCACTACGCCCATCACTCCCAGGTCCACCACCTCTCCTCCCACGCCTCCTCGCAGTCCCTGGCCCTCCTGCCTCCGCCACCTCCGCCTCCTCCCATCGCCCTCTCCACCTCCTCCCCTCCCTCCTCCACCTCCTCGTCCTCTTCCTCACAGGGCGGCTACGGCGGCGGCGGTCTGAGTGTCAGGGGCCCCAGCCTGATGGCGCTCAGGAACAGCCCTCAGCCGCTGAGGCGGACAGCCTCCGGGGGGCCAGGCGGCGGGGGCAGCGACGGCGGGTTGACCCGGAGCACATCGGTCACCTCGCACATCTCCAACGGCTCTCACCTCTCCTACTCGTGAATCCGGCGCCGGTCTTAGTCTGGGGGCGCCGTCCTGCTTCTCTCAGGGGACACAGAAGCAGAACGGCGCCATGTTGACCGTTTCGGTCTTCAGCGCTTCAATCCTGAAAACAAACATGTCACAAGTTTTAAAAAATCTATTTTGAACGCGCCCTTTATGCGCAGTTACTGCAGCTGCACGGGGGCAGCGATCCAATCAACACGTCCGGCTACCACGACGCCAACGCGTCGACGAGACAGAGCGACGGCTGTGCAGCTTCCACTCGGCTCGCAGTGCTTTAAAAACCACTGTAACTATGTACATAACTGAACTGTAGACGCCGTTTCTGGTTCCTGAGTGTTTCAAACATTCAGGGCGGGGGGCGGGGCTTGAAGGCGGCGGTGTACAGGCGGCGACCGAGGGAAGATTTCTTAAAATCAACTTTTATTTGTAGTGCTAAGATTCTGTACACGACGATAAAAACAAACACTGCCATCTTTCTGTTGACCCGAGACAAACCTACCACTGCCCGTGTCGCCGCGAGTCGCCTCGGCGTCAGCGCGCTCCGTACAGGAAGCCCCTCCATCTTTGTTTTTCTTGTGTTCAAACAACCCAGTTTACGAGATCTCTGCGTAGTGAAGTTTACACTTGTCTCTGAGGCAGATGTTCTACTTCCTGTTGATCAGGTCAGCAGGGGGCGCTGTGAGTGGTCAGCGAGCAGAC